AAGGAGGCCCTTAGTTGGGCAAGAAATTACAAAGAACATAATATAGACAGGATGGGCCMAGAATAAGGCCCATTACAGAAAAACATAAATAATAAGAAAAGAATAAACAGCCTATGGGCCATTCGGCCCATCTTCTCTACAAAAGGCACTTCATCGATTGTATACATTCTTTTATTCATATTAATAAAAAGTTGCAGTTATCAATCAAATAAGAAAAAGGAATTGCATAGCCAAGTCAATTAGCAGCCTATAACCACTCCAAATAACAATCTCAGAATGGATTTTCCAGACGTAAATACAAATAAGGGACTTTGCCATGTATACTGAAAAAGAAAACAAGCATGACATTTCAAAAACTGAATGTACAAATTATGCAATAAAATGTTTTGAGAAATTACAACAGACCTGTAAGAGAAGGTTCAATATTACTGGCCCCACAAACTGAGAAAGATCATTGCCAATCTAGAAATTTGATCAAAGAAAGAATATACTCAGAAATAAATCAATCAGGAAAATCAAGACTATGTAGCCATGAAAAACGAGAAATTTTTTTCTTCCCAAAAAATTTTTCTTGCCATAACAATTTGTATGCAAATTCAAAAAGAAACACAGAGATATGGGTGGACATGATAGAGTCTCCAGAAGTCATCTGGTGCATTTTAGGAAAGAGGCTTCAAGTAGGTAAATTCATATTATTAGAGATATATATGAAGATGCAATAACCTGTGTAAGAAATCAAGGGGAGATGGGAAAGTTTCCAATCACAATGTATTTACACTACTGTTCAGCATTTTTTTTTTTTTGTTAAAGGTAAAGTATATTAATAAGATCAAAAAGATACAAGACCAGTGTACATTAAGGGACTGTACACTGGTACAGTATATTATTCTGTATCTTGTTACATTTAGTTATGTATGAAATCAAGAAGGGGAGATGGGAAAATTTCCAATCACAATGGATTTACACTACTGTTCAGCATTTTGTTTTTGAAAAAAGTAAAGTATATTAATAAGATCAAAAAGATTCAAGACCAGTGTACATTAAGGGACTGTACACTGGTACAGTATATTATTCTGTATCTTGCTGCATTTCGTTATGGATAAATTAACTAGACATATACAGGAAGAAGCTTTTGTGGGGAATTCAAGATTTAGAGCTTCCTAATGTTATTAATCTTTTGACTGTGCTGGAGGGAGTTTTTGTGGAAACACCAAAGCCAGACAAGAAGGTTTGGACTCCTAGTTCTTTTAGTTCTTTTTCTTGTGCCTCATTCCTTAAGGTTCTTTCTTCCCTTCCTAGCTCATCCCAATCCTTTCCTGTTAAAGGAGTGTTGTTTAACCATTTCCTCATAGGGTTCAGGCTTTCTACTAGGAAGTGTTTCATGAGAGCATTAGCAATTGAGCATTATGAACATATTACAAAAAAAAGAGGCCTTACCAGTGCATATCCCCTAATTGGTATGTTCTTTGTATCGCTTGTAATGAGACAAACCATCCTTTACTAATCTCCTGTTCATTTGTTGGTATTTAGAAATGGTTATTTTCTCTATTTGGCTGCAGGTGGGAAACTCTAACTTGTGTGGCAAATCAGGGATTTGGAAAATCATCATCATCATCTATGCCTTATCCCAACCATATGGGGTCGGGTGCATGAATCCTGTTTCACCAATTCGTTCTATTTAAAATCATATCCATTGTTAAATTATAAGTGCTTAAATCATTTCCTACCCATGTCCTTTTTTGTTTACCCTTAGCTTTTCTAGCCCCTTCCACTTGTAACAAATCACTTCTTCTAACTAGAGCTGTTGGTGGTCTTCTATGCACACGACAAAGGGTCTCAACAAGCGAGACGAATTCATAAATTAAAAGAGTTCTTGGCTACTCAATTTGAGGTGAAAGATCTAGGTCTACTAAGATATTTTCTTGAAATTGAAGTTGCTTGCTCACAGAAGGGGATCTTCATTTCCCAAAGAAAATATGTGCTAGATCTGTTATAGGATACAGGAATTTTGGGAGTAAAACCCACCGATTTCCCTATTGATCCAAATCACAAATTAGGTGATTGTCAGGGTGAGATTGTCAAGGATGTAAAGCAGTTTAAGAGGCATGTACGAAGATTGTTATATTTGTCTATGACCCAACCAGACATTGCTTATGTTGTGGGTGTTTTAAGTCAATTCATGGACCATGCCCCTAAGACCACCCATCTTGAAATAGCTAAAAGAGTTCTCAGATATCTTAAAAAATTTCCAGGCGCTGAGTTGTTATTTCAAAAGCATGGACATTTAAAGGTTGAGGTGTATACGGATGCTGACTGGGTTGGATCGCTAGATGACAGGAAATCTATTAGTGGCTATTGTACCTTTGTGGGGGGTAATCTAGTCACATGGAGGAGTAAAAAAATGTAGTGGCTCGCTCTAGTGCTGAAGCAGAATAAAGGGCAATCTCGTGGAGTGACTGAAATTATGTGGTTGAAAAAATTGTTGAGTGAGTTAGGATTTACTATTGATGAACCTATACTGTAATAAAAAGCTGCTATCAATATTGCTACCAACCCAGTTCTGCATGATAGAACCAAGCACATAGAAGTTGACAAGCATTTTATTAGGGAAAAGGCAGTCAAAAGGGAAGTGTATACACCCTATGTCAGATCTGAAGAGCAACTTGCAGATATATTCACAAAGGGCTTACATCACTCACAGCATAATGGCTTATGTGACAAGTTGGGCATAATTGACATCTATGTCCAAACTTGAGGGGGAGTGTTAAAAGTCTGTTTATGTATGCTTTATGTCAGTATTAGTACTGTAGGGGTACTATGTAATTCTCGGATTATTTTATGATCGCCCTGATATAAATATGAGAGCTGGCACTGCCAGCTCAATCTTTTGGCTCTCAACTCTCTTCTCTCCCCCCTCATCTCTCTTCTTCCTTCTCTCTTCAGCCGCTCTCTTCTCTGTTTAATAGGAATTAAGGCTGAATTGAGTTGAGCAATTATAGTTAGGCATGGTTTTCCACTTGACACAAGTCCTCAATATCATTTGGGTGCAAGAAATAAGATTGCAGGATAAGTAGATGACCATCCCCAACTCTTATGGCCTATGTAATTGGAACCCCACCCAAAAAAGTTCCTCAAAATAAAATATAAAATTTTGTAAAACCTAAAAAGTACAATGAAAAAAAAATGAAAATTTGGACATGAGAAGTTCCTGTACTTTAATTCACTGAGACAAATTATTCTAAACAAGAATAACAGCCAACAGTTGCCTCAGAAAGATGGTTCAATACCTTGAAAAAACCTCCCAACCAAAACCTACAAAAAGAAATAACACCAAGGTAAAGTGAATAAGTTGATAATGGCATAGCTTACAAAGAGAAAGATATATAACAGACTAGAAACATTAAAACTATCAGTTTGTACCTTCCTCCAAGGCTTCGGTGTAATGCTCTTAGTAGCCATGGTTTGGGCTTTTGAGATTCTTCAAGCCAGTATTTCTGGAACCTACAAAGTGGGCACCATTATAAATTTTTCATAATCTTAATATAATTGATCTTAAATAGTAGCTGATGTCAAGACAAGCAACACAAAGCTCACTTGTCATTAAGTGTCTCAGTCAGATCCCATGTATCTAGTTTCCAAACATCCTTCTCAGTGATAGGTCTTTTAAAGCCTAACTGCATGAGGGGAGTCATCCAGCCAAAATATATCTCTACCAGAGGAACAAGCACCACACAAGGATCAGATAATATAAAGCAGCTGCACAGACATGCTTTTAGTCAAGAAATAACTTGGGTGAAATACATCAAATTGTATGTCATGTATATGGAACATTGTTATTGGCAGTCCTTGATGTCAAAATGACAGGTAACTTATATTTTCTCACCCACCCAGCTCAAGAAATTAGTTAAACAATGTAAAAGTTTGGAAATATTGATTTCCAAAACCTGGAACCTACAACTACTTACTGGAGAATATGTTGACATGCCTCTCAGGACAAATCTGCTCTCCACCAGGAAGTGCTTCATACTCAGTATAGTCGATAGATTCAGTCTGTATTGGGGTGTAACCTGGATATGGCTCCAAATTTGGAACATAGAACAGCAAGAAAATTCCAAACATGGCCTACATATAAGCAGAAACCAGATTATGAGAGCATTACTACATTTTCAAAATAACGAAATAAATAAACATAAGACTCAAGGTCTAAAGTGACATTCCAGTGTCAAGAGAGGTGCATCCAGTAACCTCTTTCAGTTTTTATAGGACAAGTATTGGTCATCTCAGCTAAGTCCCAGACAACTCATGCATAAATTTTACTGCATTGGCCCAAATTTTGAGCACAATAATCTTAAGTCTCAGTCTACCCATTCAGATAACCAGATCCCAAGATCAACTAACAAGTTGAAACATCATAAAATAGTTGAAGAAAGAATTAGGAAAATGGCATTCCAAAGATCAAAGTAAGAGAAACAAACCTTGCAGAAAATCTCACTGATGTACAAATACAACACAGATCTGCATTGAAAAATATTAAAGTGAGAATGAATCATTAGTAAATATGTGAATGAAATGCATATTATACCCATATTTGTGAATTTTGGACAAAGAACATATAAGATGCTGAATAATTCTAAGATACAGAAAATACAGGAATTTTTCATAAAGAAATATAACATGCAAATAAAATGGATTTTCAGTAACAGGAAAAAAATGGCAATGTATTACTTTAGTATATTTTGCAATCTATGTTATTATATTTGTAAGTACGCATATTTTAATATATTTTACTTACATTTACATGTAAAATATGCAAGCTTTTCATTCTGTGTTTTCACTTTTCAAAGATGRCGTATTAGACATGTTCCATTTTTAATTGATCTTTTTAGTATAGCATATATGCTTGAGAGATTTCTTATCATATTTTTCATTCTTGTAACCAAATTGTACAAGAACTTTTCTGTACTGTTCTTTTCGTTTTTTTTTTGGGGGGTAAAAGACCTGTACCTCTCTTGCATTTTCAACTAAATACTGAAACCTCCCCTCTCTTTTCAAATTGGACTAAGACCTCCCCTGTCAGATGACATCAACGGATAAAGACTTCCCCTCCGTTAGCAATCCATCAAAATCTGCTTGGACACGACACCGTGCGTGGGTAAAATTTTTAAAAAACCCAAATTTGTCCTTCCAAGATCCCTTTGCTTTTAGTTCCACGTCCCTGTCCCTGGACAAAATTTACAGTGGCCAAGTGCAGTGTCCAACGTCTATCTAACCAGAGGATTTGATGCAGGTCTGCCAGGCACTATATAAAGCATGAAATTTTCAAGTTTAAATAACTACCAGTCCATTGTCCGACACCTATCTAACCAGAGGATAGTGGGTATATTTTTCAGGTTTAAGCAGTAGAGAGGAAGAGACTTGAGAGCAAGAGAGCAGATGGAGAGTGAGGGGAAAAAGTCTAGAGAAGAAAGATAGAGGGAAATTGAGAAATAGTGAGAGAGAGAGGAAAGCAAAAGTAGTGAAGCCTTCTTCACTCCAACCCTGAATCAGTGAGGCAAAGAATGTTAAACTCAGCTTGATATTTCCTCCATCACTTCCTCCACGGTTGCTATCCACTTCTTTTCTACTACTGTAAAGCCCCTTATCCTCAATCATCTCTCTGGATAACACTTTGAAATGCTTCAGCAGTATATCATTTTCTGGATTGACAGCAATGAACTATTCACTGATGGCTGTATAAGATTATAATTTGGTGAGTTGCAGAACATCTTCCTTGACTCACATTGTTAGGGAAACAAACAGTTGATTTTAGGATGACAGAGCAGGTTACAACAGACACAAAGGTAAGAAATCCATTTTTGGTCAAGCAGGTTTGTGTCAAAAAGAGGAGAAAAGTTGAAAAAAATCTGAAGAGGAAGCAGATTAGGAGAGAGTTTGCACTGAAGGAAACGGAAGAAGGAGCTTGATTTAATGATCTCAAAGAATAGCTTAGGATTCGTTTAAAGAAACAAGAAGAGGCTAAGATATTGGAAAGGGAGAAGAAGGCATTTGAAGAACGTGAGAGATTGTGGGTTGAGGCTGCAAAGAAAGCTAAAGAGCAGGCGCAAAAGAAGATGCTTAAAGAGTTACAGCAGCAGCTTGAACAAGAGAATAATTGAAGAAGATGATGATGATGATGCTTGGGGGAGCATGTAGAAGAAGGGCCTGCAGAAATTATATGGCAAGTAAATGGGATAATTGTCATGAAGAGAAGAGTCAAGGTCCATAAGAACAACCAAAATTAAATTGAGAATGCTGGCAGACCTGCATTAAATCCTCTTCCTCTGCAATCCAAAGCTTTCATTGTTTATAACAACATATTATCTCTTTCTGCGCAACAGTTCTTTGAGAGTGTTACTCAACAAATCCCAAATTTCAGACTGAACTGAAAAAAGCTCATTGTCCTTTTTTTATCACAATAAAGCTCATTGTCCTCTCTGCATCAAAACTGGAGCCTGTCGTTTTGGGTCTTATTGTAGTAGAGTTCAGTTTTACCCTGATAAGTCCTGCACATTATGTATCAAGAACAAGCTTAAACAACCACTGGTCCATTGAAAATCTGGTTCTTGTTGCTTCATAGTGCACAGCGGACAGTTGAAGATCAAACAGATTTCCATTGAAAATATGTTTATGCTTAAACAACCACGGTCCATTAAAAAGGACCAATTTGGTCTACGATGGAAAACAGTTTTTCTGTTTCTTTTCTCCTACCAAGAAAATTAGCTTGGACATCTTATGAATTGCATTAGATCTTGAAACTACTTCTTGCTTTCAGAAATTCCATTGCAGTCAAGAACCTGGTTTTTAAGTGAGAGATCTCAATACTACCGAAAAAGATGGAATTTTCCTTGTCGYCTGCACCAAGATCAAAAGCAACTGAAGATGAAGAAGTTTTCTGTAGAGTTTTTATCAGCAGACAGGAAAAGGTGGGGAAAAGGTTTCGATGGGGTGGACAACCACAAGAGAGAAGAGCTTTTTTCTGCAATGGTATATTAGACTTTTTAACTCCTCCATTACATAAAACGGTTGATACATCTGATAGGGGAGATCTTAGTCCAATTTGAAAAAGAGAGGGGAGGTTTCAGTATTTAGGAAAAACATCAAGGGAGGTTTATTTTTGCTCTTATATTTTTTTTGAAGAATGAGGATAAAAAGTTTCATTGAAAAAAAGAAAAAAGGATAAAGACAAAGATATCACAGTAACAAAATCTTAATCCACTTAATAATGCATAATCATTAATACTCAGTGAGACTCGGTAATGGCCCTAATGGGTTTGCAAGACACTCATTGAGGCTTGGTACCATGTAGCAGCACATTTTGGCCTACTTACCCATCAATGTAAAGCCTACCACTTGGACACAAGTCAGTCTCGTGGATTTATATTTTCACTTTTTGATCTGGTGCACTGCTACTTGAGTAAACTAACTAGTCATATTAACCTTCCCTATCTTTAATATGGTTTTGCAATCACTATGAATCATAACTTCTTATAGTGTTATCAATTGATGTGACAAGACAACCAAAACAAACAAAAAAAAGCTTTCCATATTTGATTATTTGCCTTCAATATTGATGTCTGACACTTGCTCCATATATTTCACAGAAATGATAAAGGCATAGCTTTAGCAATAAGAGAAACTAAGGGTCCGTTTGGTTCACAGTTGGAATCGGAATCAGAATTCCCTTTGCCTGTGAGGTCCAAACAGGAACCAGAATTAGAATCAGAATCAACTGGTATGAAATTCTCATTCCCAAGGGAGGGGGGGAATGGCCATTCCCTCAAATGGGGAATGCCATTCCACTAGGAATGTATATTGGATACTGACCCCACCCAACCAAACAGTTAGAATCGGAATGGGCTATTCCAATTCCGATTCCAGACCCCTATTCCCGTGAACCAAACAGACCCTAAGAAAAGAATAAAAATTATGGCTTTGAAGTTTGAAGTGCATACGACTAGTCACGTTTAAAACTTTTTCTTGGGGAAGAGGGGTGAGAGATGAATAACTCACTCATTGTAGTATTCCTTGACTGGTAATATAAGATTGAGCATAACAATCTCCCCAATCAGAACATAGATGACTCCAAACCGGACATACCACCGAAACTCACAGATGTAGATCTTAGTTTCCACAATGGTCATTACCACCATAGAGCACCAAGCAAGGGACTCAATGAGAAGAGAAAGCATCTGCAAAATAAAGATTAAAAGATCATACAAGTAGACATAATATCAGTTTTACCAAGCTGCCCAAATGATTTTAGCAAGGACGGAAATAACAAACATTCTGTTTTATTGGACAAGGGTGATCTGAACATCCTGTAGAAAAATATCACAACATAGTTACATCAATTCTACCCACATCTCCTCTATAAAAGAAATGAGTTTTAGCCATGACATGACATCTCAACTACCAGAGAAGTAGTGGTTTGAATTCATTCCTTTAAGAGATATTGCTTCACTTTCCACCTTGACTTCTTATGTAAGATGCTGCCTTCTGACCTAACATGGTATAGACTTGCCTAGTCATAACTATATACTTGACCCATTCAAATATTTGATATTTTCTTATGTTTCAACAAATTTAGGAAATCAAAGTGGTTCATTAGTTTAGTTTTACATCATATTAAGGTTGATTTGTGAATACCAAGAAAATATATTTGGTTTTCTAAACCAAGAAGCTTGGGAGAATGCCAATAAAGCCAATAGAAGGGTTGTTGAGATTTTTGTGATATCTATATTAAGTTCAGGGATTTATGGGAATTTGGTTACAAGTGTTTCTTTCCATACAAGATATTAATAACAGAGAACATGTAAGAACAAAATCATTTCTTAGCATCCATATTTCCTCAAAAAGAACCTACTGAACTTGGAATTTATTGCAACACAAGAAGCTATCCTTCAATGTCCCCATAATCATGGTGAGGCAATGAAGATAAATCCGGAATACAAAATCTTCACATCATGTCTTATGGATGGATAATCACAATTATTTTGGACAAAAATTGAGTATGCTTACTGATGAAAAAGAACAATGACTGCAAATAGGCAAGCAAAACTAATGCACACATTCATACACACATTGAAGAAGTTCAGAAAGAAGGGTAGAGGTCATATGTGATTTTTAGACAATAATAAAACTAGTAGGAACTTAGAAGGGCAATTTGTTATGATTTTAGGTAAAAGAGGATTTTCAAGTAGATGTGTTTTATATGACCAATAACATATACTTATATGAGATGGAGCATTTAATAGCACTGTGAACAGTTACATGTTAGCACAAGAAATTTCAAATGAAAGAAATGCTTGGTGGAGAAAGCTGATTGTGGACAAATATGGAGTGGACCGGGGTGATTGGAGATCCAATTCTCCTATTTCAAGAGGGATAAGTTCCATTTGGACAGGAATAATGAAGAACGCTAATTTATTTGAGGAAGGAATCGGTTACAACTTGGGAAATGGGGAAAGAATCAAATTTTGGAAAGACTCTTGGTGTTCTGAAGTGTGTCTGAAA